GCTGCACGAAGGGGTTGGGGATGGCCTCCATGCCGTCCTGCGGGCAGATGAGCACCACCGACGTGCCCCTGCACACCACGAGCCCCAGCTGCCGCGTGTCCTCCGTCAGCTTGTACTGGTCGTCGGGGTCTGTGGGCAGCGGGGCACTGAGGGCCAGCCCAGGCGAGCCCGTCCCATCCCTGGGGGCTGCAAGCCCGGCTCGGCCTGGGCACCCAAGCGCTCTGCACCCGGCCTGTGGCCAGGAGAGCGGGGGGGGGGGGGGGGCCCCCCCGCAGGCCGTAGGGCTTGGTAAAGCTGCTCAGCCCCTCCCGGGGCCCGGCTGTCCCGACCACGCCGAGGGCCCGAGGGGCCGCCCCGTCCGGTCCTGGCGCCCTCCCGGAGCTGGACCTTTGCAGGGGCAGGGGCAGGGGCAGCCTCGGCCGGGGATGCCGAGGAGCTCCAGCACTTCACCCCTGGCTGCAGGACGGGCTCTCACCGGGCCAGGCAGGGCCCCGCCCTGCCCGAGGCCACAGCCACAGGGCCCAGGCTCACCTCCCGCCCGCGCCGCGGTGCGCCCAGCACGTGCATTTACGGGAAAGCCAGAGTGGGCCGACAGACACCCCGCCCCACTGGGCGCCAAGCCAGATCCGGCCGGTCCAAGTGCCCGGAGCGCCCCTCCCGGTGCCCGCTCACCTCGCATGTACTCGATGGTCCCGTCAAGCACGAGGTTGAGAAGCGGGTCGAAGCCCTTCAGGATTCCACTGGCTTGGAGAAGTCACCGGAGGAGAGAGACAGGGGCGGGGGGTGTGGGTCAGGCAGGTGTCCCACACGGGGTCCTGGGGCAGGGCGTGGGCCGTGGCAAGACCCTGCCCTGCCTGGGTCGGGAGGGCTGAGGCCGGGGAAGGGGGTTCTGGAGGCCACAGCGAGCGCGCCTCCAGGCCGGCTGCACCAGGACACGGCAGTAGGCCAGGGAGGGTCCTTCCCGCCTTTTCAAGGCCCAGGACTGCAGCGTAGGCCTGGGCTCATGGGCAGTACCCAGACAGGCCACACGGGGGCGACTCGGCATGCACAGGCCCCAAGCACCCCCTTTCCTGCCAGAGGGCGCGCTCACCAGATGGAGGAAAATGAGAAAGCACCCGAGAACGGCCCCGCCCCC